TCTCTCTCTCTCTCTCTCTCTCTCTCTCTCTCTCTCTCTCTCTCTCTCTCTCTCTCTCTCTTTGGCTTCTCTTGCATGAGTTGCAGAAATAAATTATGCATGACATATATTACGTATCTGAGATTGAAAGGAATGACAAATAAACCTGGTGAGATAAATGAACTCAAAAGAAAAAGAAGAAGAAGAAGAAGAAGAAGGAGGAGGTAGAAAAAAGCAGCATATACAATACAATTTGGTGCGATAATAGATCTTGGTAATGCTTACCTTGGCCGTCAGTCAGATGCAGTGAAGAGAGAGCCACACTGAGTAAGATCACTTTCCACATATTGATCTGGTGCCGAATTTCAGTGTTCTCTGTGTGCCAAACTGTGTGTTTTCTCTTCCTGGTTGATGGTGTTTTCTTTTTCGTTCTTTGCTTATACGATTTTTGCTGTATGATATGCGTGGTTCGAGCTTATTGTCTTAGTTTCGTCTCTCAATTTTCGGCTTGAAATCCAATTTGCATAGCAGTCCAAAGGCGAGCCAAACGAAGACGAGAAAAAAATGTTCCGCAATTATTACTCTTTTTTTTTTAGTTATGTGTGGTTGGTTGGTTTGCCGCCTTTCTTTCGTTATTTATAATTTTCTTTGCAGAAAAATAAAATGCTACAGAGAACTTTCCGTTTGGTCAATCATCGAAACATAAACCAATTCGTCTGGACATTTGTTATTTTGCCAAAAAAAAAGAAGGTCGATATATTTGTTGCGTCCGTTTTGGAGAAAATTCTTCCGTGCAAAATCGAAATAAATCTTCAAAGTTATTTTAATCGATGGCTTGTGATCGATCACCAACAATTACCGAAAAAAACGGAATGCTTAACAATTAAGAGAAGAAATGCGGTCAGTTGAACAGAACAGTAAAAGTATTGACAAAATTATGATGAATGATTGCACGGCCTGTACTTTCCACCCAGTTGGAAGAAGAGAAAAAAATCTAAATTAACAAAATGCTCGTGAGATTCTTCCGAATTTATTCTCACCAAAATTCTTTCCGTGGACACTAGTTATTTTTTTTCTTTTTTCGTGTTTTTTTTGTCCGTTATGAACTTTCTTTTATCACTCACAAAAACCGATTTTGTTAAGAAAAAAAAATTAACGATTTGATTTTGACGAATTTTTTTTTAAAACTTGGATGATAAAAATGTGTACGCTTTTCTTGAAGTAGTCACCAAAATCGATAAGCAACGGCGATTTTTTTTTACCGCACTCCACACAAATAACAACTCGATGCTGGTTGTTGAACAATCAAAAATAATATAGCGATGTGTAACGGTTAACGCAGTCGATTAGCTGGCACAATCGGCAATAAACATTTGTGAAAATAAATAACTTCTTTAAAGCACAGATAACAGACGAGAGCTAAACTAAACAAAAAATAATCCGAAACGGCAGCGCACTAAGTGAGTAAGAGCGCGCGAGGGAGAAATTCTGTTTGGTGTGTGTTCGAAGAAAGAAATGAAGAAGAATGAAATTTCATTGTCAAGGCTTGCTGAATTTATAGAAAAATGTGTATCGGCACCGCTGCTACGAGAGATCACAACACAAACAATCCAGCCAGCCAGCCAGTAAGTTGCCAGCTAAATCGAAAGAAAGAAGAGATTGTATACAATCACACACAAGCTCACCGTGTAGTGCTTGCTGTGAGAGCATTCAGTTGCCACCTCTGCTGCTGCTTCTGTTGCCGCCGTCACCGTCGTAGTCGTGTTCATATTTGTGAGGCGACGGCGAGAGGTACACACATTTTGTATGAGTATTGGAATGATGAGAGAGCGACGATATATACATAGCCAGCTCACTATTTTTCTGCATGCATACAGACCGATGACGACGACGATGAGATCCGCAGTCGGTATCTTTTCGAGTCGAGAATGTACTGCTCCTCTGGCAACCGTTGTCGTCATCGTCGTCATCGTCATCGTTGTTCGAACGGTGTACGTATTCGATGCAGGCCACGCCGAATTGTAGGCTCTCATTGTTCTTGTGTCTAATAACAGATATTTCTCAAAGGATGATTCGGAGCAGAACCTTTGCATGAATCGAACTATATCGAACTGTATTCGACATTCCGCTTCTGTCTATTTTTATTTATCCGATATAATAATAAAATATCATTATTATATATTGAACATTATTTTTCAGGTGGAACATGTAATGGGGCATTTGCCCGTGTTTTTCTTTCCTCTTCGCTTTTCCATCGGTTTCTATGTGTGTGTGTGTTTTTTTAGCACTACATGAAATGTAGAGCTACTAATCTGCTTATTTTTTTTTTCTTAATACTTTTTGAGTGATGAAACAAATTATGGTGAATTTGAATTTTATGCTCATATTTTTTATTTAATTTTAAACAGGTGCAATAACGACAAATAAGTGCACAATATCTCGAAGCGCCAATCAAATTTTTATTATCAAATGTTGTTTAAAAATTACATTAATTTTTCGTATAATATTTTCTGAGTCTTGAACAGAATTAAAGTGATTTTAGATTCTATGCTCATTTATTTAATTTAAACCAAAGGCAGTATATTTCAAAAAAGAAATAAAACCAAGGTCTTGTCATTCATTTTGCAAATAAATATATTACTTCAAAGTTACTTTGATGAAATAAATTTCATGTAGTGCGCCAAGAAATAGTTTGTTGTGAAACAACTTAACTAAATAGATTAAGTAACTAAAAACTCAAGAAGCTCTGCGGTCTTGTTTTAGTTTTAATTTGTCTGCACCTTATAAGCGAATTATAAAAGTAAAATACGTTTCCCGTAAATGCCATGCCGTGTTTAGTGCCGACTGATTGCTCAGAAATGCTGATTCTGTGTCTGCTGTGACTTTTGAGCCGGCCACACTCACTGTACTGAATGTGGTATAGTTGTCCAATCGCTAATTATAATGTGAGATAACCCGTGCTCTTTTTTTCTGCTTTTTAATCGACCGAATGCCGCTCCAATGATTTTTATAGTGAGATTGATGCCGGAGTTTTTCGAATTTTTTCAAAACACTCACGCAGCCACCATTTGTTTCTTTTAACGCTTGTTTTCTTTTCTTTTGTGTTGATTCGTTCTTGTGGCTCGAGATGTAGTGTTAATGGTTGTTTTTTTTTCTCATAGGATTGCCATTAATTGGTCATTGATAGCGGCTAGTCATGAGCACCTAGTTTTCGTTGCAGACATCTGATTGTGTAAATGAGTATCAGTTGGAAGATTGTAATTTCTGCTGCTGCTGTTGCTCGTTCTATGTTCCGTCTATTTTTCGCTCATTTCTCTGGGTTGCAACTGATAAAGAGTGAAGTTCGTAGTGCGCCCAATTACTGAAACATCAATCATTATAGCTATTGATTAGTTTCAGTTTGTTTATTTTTTTTTTCCTACTCGCTTTCAAATATCAACCGTAACCGAGGAACGGCTCAAAGATCATGCTAAACTCACCGCTTATTGATACGTTATAGCCATTGGAGAATGCACAACAAAAGAGAAAACCCAAGCATCAAATGAATATAGGACAAGAGAAATAGAAAGAGTTTATTTCGAACATACACGAAATGAACGTGTTATTAAACTGCAATTTCAGAGCCAAAACACACAGAAAACCAGGAAGCAGAAAATTGTTGATTGAAAATTCTCATGTAGATGTTGGTCATCATCGTAGCCGCTTTTTTATTTTATTTAGGTGTGTCTGCGACCACCTTACACAGGCATTTGCGGTGTATTTGTACTGTAGCCGGCATTCGAGATCGAGCAATGGTTCTACAATGACAATCGCCGTGAGACATACGACAGATTTCAAAATAATAATAATAATAAAAAAAACTTAATCTTGTGCCTTAGTCAACAGTGTTTCTATGCGATTGAATGGAGCTGCGACGGCAGAAGAGAATTTGTACGAAAACAAAATGCACCGAGTTTGTTTTGCCTGCAGCCAAAGTTGAAATAAAAAAGCATATTCCATTTCGTTTTGTTTGGTTGCAAATAACTTTTTAGTGTTCTTTGTATATATTTATTTTCTTCTTCTTTCTCTTCTTTTTACTTTACTATCTTTTGTCTGGTGCTATCAAATCCATCGCTTATCGGCATTAAGCACAATACCCAAATGAAAACACACAAATGTAAGCGACTCAACCGACGGCTATTCCATGCTTCTGTACACTGAATATCACTCTCCTTCGCTCCTCCGTTTTAATTTCTCCGAATGAAATTCTACAATTAAACATAGTATATCGCATCCATTTGCCTCATTTTCCCTCCTGCACACACGCTCACGCACACAACACATTGTTTTGCATTGCTTTTCATGCACTTATTCCAATTTTATCTTGATAACATACACACAAGCCGTCTTCTTTTTCATGTCTTTGCTCATTATTTGAATAATTTACACGAAATTCCGAATAACAAAAATATGCATTAAAAGTATTTCTCGGCAAACATGGGAACGGAACAAAAAAAAATTTTATGCAAGCTGAAAATTTATAAAGTAAAATTGAACACTGAAACTGGCCACAAGCGAATATCTTAAAATTTTCTAATGGTTTTTGCTTTATTTTGAATGGAACAAGAAAAATGGACGGCATGTCTCATGCGAAAATGTATACATTGAAATAGGCTCTTTTGTTTAATGCCATCGCATTTTCTATCATATCAAAGTGTGTCTGTAGTCGATTCATTGCGAATAAAATGGAAATTCTCGACTAGTGAATGCAAATATTTTATAAACATTTCGACGTGTATATGGTTTTGCTTTCATCTAATTGGTTTTTGATATCCGAAACATTTTGCTTTCCAGCGAATAATAATGAGCCACAATTTTTTTTGTTTCCTATCTACTGAAGTTTTAAAATTCATCACAAAAACTAACCGATACACTTAGAAACATTGCGGGAGAGCGAACGCTAGCGGCAATTATCTTGATATTTGCGACGCAAATAGTTTCAAACCGTCTCCATTCCTACCTATCAATTCATTAAGCTTCCATTTAATAAGTATGTGAAGGAGCTTACGATTGCATTCGAAAAGCTTGTCAAACTTTAGCATTGAAAAAGTTAGAATATGATCCAATCAAAACTTATCACAACGAATAAACATTTGAACAAAAGCGAACGCAAACTTTTCGTTTGTATATTTCATCATTTTAATGTTAAAATGAAATTTCACAAACACCTTGAAGAGTGTACAGTTTTACGTAACATATTGCGACTTTTTCAGAAAAACTGTTTTTTTCGAAATTTGATATTGAAGTTTTGAGGTTTTAGAACTGGATTTTGTTCAGTTTTTCATGACGAATTTTGTGGTGGTTTCAGTTTTCATTTATGATAAGCCGTTTTGAAAAAATGACTAGTTATTAACGAAAATATGTTAATAATATGTTATTAAGATTTTATTTTAATAACGAGCATTGACCAGTCAATTTTTTTAAAACGCTTCATGCAACCTTCAAACTGAAACCACCACCAAATTCTTCATGAAAAACTGAACAAAATCCAGTTCTAAAACCTCAAAACTTCAATATCAAATTTCGAAAAAAACAGTTTTTCTGAAAAAGTCGCAATATGTTACGTAAAACTGTAGTGTGTACAGTAATATATTGGATACAGCTTAGAGTACGAATGATTTTGTGAAAAAAAATTCAGCATGCAAATGTGAAATTTTAATTTTTTTTCACAATTGATTTCGACGAGATTGTGATCTTATTCAAACCAGTTATACTCTATGTCCGCATTCGCCGTAAGACGAACATCCTCCAGTTTGTCATCGGTACAGCCGGTTTCCACCTTTGAATCGGCCGATTTGTATTTATAACTGCAATACTGTCAATATTCGTGATAGGATCGAATCGAATCGAAATGCAAACAGAAAAAAGGAAATTTACTTGCTGATTTCATGTAAATTAACGTATTTTTCTACGCATACCTTATGCAGAAGGCGTCGATCATGTCGAAAAGTGCCGTTGACCAGTTTACTCAGCGAAAATGGGCTCAAATCATTGACACCAAATGCATCGCGAAACGAATACTCTTTAAACCATTTTGGTGGTTGGCCGACTGGTGCCAGATTCGCCTCAGTCAGATTAAAGATGTACGTTTCCTGATCGACAACTTCGAATGTGTCACTTTCGATGGTGTACAAACGATAATTTGAATTTAATCCGACAAATGAGGTGCCACTACCGCCACCCCAAGCAACATTTAATGGTACAGGCACATCGTCCGTTGAATATAGCAGTACGAATTCATCGCTGTGTGTGTGACCAGTAAACTGACCACTGATTATATGGGCAAACTGTCGAACCAACGAATCGTATTCGCGATTCCATGCTCGTATGCAGCTTGCTGTATTGGGTGGAATGTGACCGAGGATATGCACTTTTTCACCAACCGTTTCAGCCAAACTCAACGTATCGCGTAACCATTCCAATTGCGCAATCATTTCTTCGGCACCGTACAAAAGCCATCTAATCAAAATCAAACAGCACATGATTATGCATTGTTTTTGATCGCAATCATTCTTGGGTGAAAATTAATTAAATGCATGCCCGTCAGCCTGTCTCTGTGTGTGCATGTGCCATGTGTTCATTGCATATCGTTTCAAATTGTCAACTTACATATTATGGACGAAGCATAGATTGTTATTGAGCACAATTATACGGAAACCCGGCCGCGATACGAACGTATAATAGCCACCATGACGAAGCGTTGCCAAAGCCGATTCAGGCAGCCAATCAGACCATAAATCTGCCGCAATTTCGTATAACCACTTTGAATTCAGCTCATCTCCCGTTGAGTCGGGCGCAAATCTAATTTCAAAAATTTCAAAAAGCTTTAATTATACACAAATTCGTTCGATTTCATTCATTTATGGTTGATATGTGTGAATTTTTGAAAGCCTTACGCATCACTTGGATGAAGGTCATGATTGCCTATCGAATAAAAACAAATTATTTAAAAATGCCGGTTTGATCAATCCACAAAGTCCATGGTAAGATGAATCAAAAATATTAAATATTCTATGTACCTATCACCATAACCACGGGTATATTTGGAAACTTTTCTTTAATTTGTTGCGTTATAAATTTGATGGAGTGTTCTACGCTCGACTTCGTAGTCGACCAACTAAAATGATCGGTAAAATCGCCGGTATAATAAATTAAATCGATGTTCTGTGAAGAGAAAAAAATTGAAATTGAAAAATGTTCACAAATTAAGTGGTTGTTGGAGAGCCAAAAATGTGTACGTGCGGATTGGTAGGTCATTGGACTTGATACCTTGTGTTTAGCTGCTACTTCGTTGCAAATGTTTTCAGCTAGATAACCGGGTGAATCGCATACTTCATAGTCTCCCCAGTAACCGGCTTTAAGTGTTGAATTTTCTTTGGCCTATCATTTATCATCCATGCGATGGATTGTTTTTGCGCAAATGAACAAATTATTGCAGTCAATTTGAAATGGTTTCACTCGAATTTCCACTAGGGGCTAGGAACAAGTTGTGTCATTCGTATGTATTCGCCAGAGTTTGACTTATCCGCCAGATATATGCTATGGCATAAAAAAAATATGCGCATATTTTTTGGTACATTTGGATTTTGTGACTAACTTACCATGTAAATTCATGTGGATATCACGATTTTTTGTCCCAAACTCGTGATATCCATATGAATTTACATGGTAAGCTAGTCACAAAATCCAAATGTACCAAAAAATATGCGCATATTTTTTTTATGCCATAGCATATATCTGGCGGATAAGTCAAACTCTGGTATTCGCATATATTTATGCGTTCGTGGCTTTGTTATTGTTGTTATACACTCACTGCGCTGCGAATGTCTCGCATACATTGTGATATTCGTTGAGTGCCACTAAAAAAATATTCATACTCATCTAGCGCGTGAGACGCATGCGGATGGGATGAAGCAAAGCGAAAGGGAAGCGCGCAACTAGAAGATAGAGTCAATGGGTACTACGTGTTTTTGTTTGTGTCCGTATTCTAACGACGGAGTGACGAAATGTATGCGTGCTAAATCGTTCGTTCGTATGGAGTTGCCCGCTTCTCTTTCGCTTTGCTTCATCTCATCCGTGTGCGTCTCACTCATTAAATGAGTGACCATGCGTCTCACGCACTAGATGAGTGTGAATATTTTTTTAGTGGCACTCACCGAATATTACAATGTATGATGTCTCGTATACACAATCACAAGAATTCACGAATATTCATACGAATTCGTCTCAAGCGCTTGTGTTCCTACCCCCTAGAATTTCCAACAAATTCCCAACTTACAATGCTTGTGTTGCGACAGCAAATAAATTCCTGGCAATCTGAACTGCTGCCGGCGGCATAATTTGGATCGTAGTGGAAATCGCTCAAGTGAGCGATGGTTAAGAACCAACTAGAATTCATGCCATACTCAGGGAAATTATACCTCTTCGGAGCCTGTTCAAATGAAACCTCTTGTTGATTGTCGTGATATTAACAAATATTAGACACTATAGACTAAATTACTAACCTTGAGTACCGGCTCATGAGCCGGTCGAATGCTGAAATCAATCAAATTTTTTGACGTCGTACATTCATTGTGCTGGAATAAGATGCCGCAAATCCGATCTGATGACAATTCATTTGCGCTATGCTTCAAAATATACTTAATGGACGGCTGATGATGCAGTGGCGTAGCATGAAATTGCGAATCGGAACATGATTATCTTGTTTGAGTTTCATTTGCGTTTGCATTTGAATTTGAATTTGCATTTTAATGTTATCAATAATCGCACCTGTGTACACGAATAAGTGTTGTTCTAATATTGTCTATTTAGCACTGTGTATATGCATCCAGAGCAATATAGAGACGCAGATGTAGGGAGAGAGAGAGGGAATGTGTGCGATTGCACACAGCGTATGGCGCGTATGCCACAAAACAGCATTTGAGCGATGCAGTGTATTATGGTTTTGGTGCCAACTAAGTGATGGAGACTGAATGCGAGCAGCACTGTGAGCAATCCAATGCACGCGACCGAGGGCATCAAATGCCACCAAGTTAAATTGAATTGATTGCTATCGAAACGAATTCAAATCGCAAAATTACCGTAATTGAGAAGTGGCGACCACCGTAATTCAATGCCATGATAAACAATAAAGTAATCTGACGGTTTATCTATATATGGCCAATTCACTGCGCAGTGCGCATCGCATCGGATATTCTTCTCATTTAGACATTTTGTGTTATGAATAGCTGTGTATTGCTTCAGCCACCTTTTCCCACTGTTATTGTTTTCATTTGATTTACTTATAATTGGCCCGGCCACGTCAAAACAATCCACTTTGATTGTTTATTTGCGTTGCTTGAGGTGATAAAAACAAACATGCGATCAAAATTTCCACTAACTAAGTTGTTTTGAAATCACAAGTTGTGCTTCTGTTTGCCTCTCACTTTCTCTCTCTCCACATACGGCAACACACTCAATGAATGGATGTTCTCGTGCGCGCGTGACAAAACCTCTCAATATATTTATCTCATATATAATGATTATCAATAGCCATGGATTCAACTCACCAAATAAATATTTATCATGCCGCGGCACTCGAACCCTAGTATATCCGCTAGTATCGTGCATAAATCGAATAAATATTCATCTAGATCTTGATCGGAATGATTTCGGTAATAATTTAGCAACGAAAATGAGAATGCACGGCAAGTGAGGCAAGTTTGCGGCTGCGGAAGAAAAAGGAAAAGAAATGATCGAAAAAAAAAATTGATTATAAAAATTGGCAAACAAAATGATATCGATACTCGTAGTAACTTACAGCGATGCAATCTGGTAGTCCGTGCAATTGTAAATTGGGTTGCTTTGGTGTTTTGAGAATGTTTCTCAATTCATCGGTGATGATTCGGTTGTTTTGCCAGTATTGTTGAAAAATTTCATCGAATCGGAGTTCGTAGGCGTCTGCAAAGTATCACGAAAGATAGCAAATGAACAATGTTGCATAGCTCAAAATTCCATTTACTCCTCCATCTTCACCATCACCACCACCATTGTGTAATGATATCTGATTCAGTTCTGCTCTTCATTGGACATTCACATACTCACCAGCATGGACGATCGTATTGCTTGCACCATGCATTTTGCACGAGTTGCAGCCGTATAACAAAATGCCCGCCGAAAGCACATAAATCAGAAAAACTTTCATAATGAATTTTCAGGCTCAGCAGCTAGAAAAGAGTGGCGCTCGCGATACAAAATGCAAGGAACTGGGTTTTCCACAATGTGTCACTTCTCTATCTTTTGGTTCACTCAACTGTGCACATTACACACTGACAATCTAATCTTCGCTGAGACACACCAACCGAATATGTTGTCAAATACTGTCACTTCGGTGCTTTTTTTTACTTTATTAGCTGACTTGAATAATATGCGTCTCGCATCAACGACACCGCTACTATAACTCTGCGATATTTACCCACGATTCGAATTATATATACAATTTTGTGTCATAGTAATCGCTGACCTCTATTTCACACAGACACAGTCGATTTTAAATGAAATGCCACTGAAAATGAAGTACCACTGAGCAAATATAGAGCGCGCGAACGAGAACACAGCCAAAAGACTTTCATTGATAAGATTGTCAATCAGGGCTTTGGAAACATTGAAGCATGCACTTCTACGAGTGGCTTCTATCGTCATTTGAAGTGGTTAAAAGCTACGCATTTCCGTTAAATTTTTGTTTAAAAAAATGTGTTAAATAAAACAAACAACTATTGAATTTGACAACTTATTATCACACATCTTCGACATGTTTATGGGTGGGATTAGGAGTAGTGTGTGTGTATGTTTTTTTTTTTGACAAATTAGTATCTTCTCAAAAACTGTTGGTCTTGTTGTCAAACTGTACAATTTTACAGAAAACATACTCTCCTTATTCCAATACAAAGCCTGTGAAACATATAGCACTCTCGATCTCACCCACTGATGATATGTGTATTTTGAAAACATGACTTCATGTGGACCATCAAGATTCATTTATAAATTAAAGCACCAGAAAAAAAACGATGATAGAATATTAGCTGCCCAATTGAATGGCCCGTGTGTCTCAAAATAAACAAACATAAAAAAATGAGAACAACGTTTTACATTCATATCGGAAGATTTTTTTTCATGCTATTTCCAAATGGTGATTTAAAAACAACATTTCAACTTTCAAGTTGAATGCAGTCTGTTTGTTCGATTGTTACGAATTGTACAATGTTTTGATTCGAATCGTTAACGCAATTTACGCGACTTAATCATTTTTCTCCATACTATGAATGGGCGACTAGTGATTGCAACATTAAACTATTTTGAGAGATTTATAGTATGTACTATGATTGGGATTTCAATTAAAGTAAATAGACAGCTTACTAGTAGAGCTTACATAATTTGTCTGTTCACTTGGGTGCGTAATAATAATAAACAATTAGAATGAATTGTGCGTGAACGAGCAAATAGATTTATAAATAAATAATAATTTGCATACAGAGAGAGTTGTGAATCGCAGAATGAACTCCAATTTCGTCTATTTGTTTATTTTTCGGGAGCCGTATTTTTTTCTAGTTTGCTCGTTCTGTTCATCGAAGCGGTGGCTTCGTATTGATGGGTATCGGTTATTACTTTTCCACACGAATAGCATAATTTTATGGTCGTAGGGTTTGTGCGTGGTACACTGTAAGCTGTACGCAAAAAACACGGTAAGATTTTGTTATGTCACAATGTATGAAAAACAGAGTATTGGAATCGCTCTGATATTAAGGTCTGATTGAAATATGATTCTTTCCTAATTTCAATGCATGGAGAATTGGATTTAATTGGAAATTATATGTTTGGGAGTGTAGAAAAGTTAACCTTACGAATGTAAGGCATCTTGTTTTGGACAATGTCTTGCAAACATTTTAAAATGCTGATGTTAGTGTATATTCACGCCAAGGAATCCTGTTTGGGATATAACCTCGGTAGTTTCAATTTAATCAACAACCTACATTCTGATTAAATTGAATGCTGCCCGCCTTTGCCAAATGCTCGCTCTGTCGACAGCTACTAAACAAAAGCTCTATTGAGATAGTATGTATGTGTAATGTACAGATGGACACGGAACACACACACAGTCATTAAATAATGGCATGCAATCGTACTTCTTTGAATAGCCTAATTTCCCAATTTTCAAATGTTTTGAACCTTTTGGTTTTCGGTTTATGCCATAAGATGAAGTTTATGCCATACTGTCTTTCGCCTTATTGCCAACATTACCACCACGACCACCATCACCATCACCATGTCGATATTCGTACCAATCTTATTGAGAGCGTAAATGAAAGTGAATTTCGCTAGGAATAATTATAGGAAACTCGTCGAATGTTACAAATAGCAATTAATGAACCGAAAAATAAGCGATTAAAAGGAAAAAGTTTTTCACTTTTATACACAAATGGTGAGTGTGTTTCGATGGATTCGCTAAAAAGGCAACTAATGGTGTACATGCAAAATCATCATCAATCGAGAGGAAAAAAGTACAGAAGCACAGTACTGTGGATCCACCCAAATACTTATTGCGACGATGGAGAGAGAGAGAGAGAGAAATAGAGAAGGAACGACCGGCTTTTGATAAAATAGAAAAAAAAAACATTACAAATATCTCACACCATATAAGATCTACCCGAACATTTTTAATTCCGCATTTTCTTTTGGTAGGCCAAAAAAAGACTTGAAGAGCATTTTGTGCGTTATTCTTCTGTCGGAGAGTCAATTGAATATGCTATACCATGTTTTGTTATAAATTTTTTTTCCTCTTAATTTTACTTCAACAAAGAAATGATGCACCACAAATGTAACCGAACCGATAATCATCACAAATTGCTCTCTCTCTCTCTCTCTCTCTCTCTCTCTCTCTCTCTCTCTCTCTC